AACAGCTCATTCTAAGGTAACAAAAACACATTAAGTTTTACGTTCAGGTGATTATACACTAATGAAAACATACCTATAAATATTATATTCCATTTTCTGACAATAGAGCCTCCTAAATTTTACACACTGGACCTTGAAGTCTCTAAGTGAAGCACTTTAAATTGACAGAAGACAAAGTGAAAGCCATGATAAAATACCTGAGTTCTTGAGCAAAATTGTATTCAAGTCATGCACTAGAATAAGTTATTATACAATATCGGATCAGCGATGTGAAACGGCTTGTAATGGTCTGCAAATCAAGTGTTTTAGCGAGCATTTATTTTTGAAGAGTGCAGCAAAATCCAATTATGTTTGCCAAGATGATAAATACCTGCAGTGTTCTAAAGCAACAAATAGAGTGACATTAAGTGATACAGTGTGTGTTCTTTCAGTCAGGATTTACAGGTTTCTTTGAGTGCAGGATTGAGGGTTGTGCATACTTGCATACTTAAGTAATGCTCAGAGGCAGAGGGGGCTCAGAAGTAAATCTGAGCAAACAGAAGAAAGAACTTTGTGCCAGAGAGAGCAACTTAAGACAGGGATTGTGTTAGAGGCAGTGCATGAATATGCCACACTTATAAAAACACAGATGAAAGATATGACTTGAACATCAGTTAAGTCAGTAATTTCATATACATCAACTAAAGAATAGTTACACATTCACACAGACTTTCCTGTTAGGTATTTTTTAAAGGGGATTGCATACTCTGTTTACCCTGCAATCATTGAGACAGAAATGAATGTGGCTGTGATAACTTTGAAGAGTTGCAAAATCATGTCTCATAGTATTATAAACTGCTGTGCAGTGTTTGATGGTGACTGATGAGCCTTCAAACGCATGGATGCAGAGGCCTTTCTGAATCTCATTTAATCATCTCACCACTACCTGAAGCAACACAACCAACTCATCCCCTCGCATCTTTTTGCAAATGTATGTCATTCTACGCCTTAAATTTCCAGTGTTTAGGATTTAGTGGCATCTTCAATTCAATTCAATTCAAT